TCTGTGGACTCCCCTCCTCCCTGAGTAGTAAGTGTTCCCAGATTAACCTTTATCAGACCTTCTCTCTTTCTATCAAATGGGCTCCATTAACTGGGACTATGGAGCCAGAGGATATTAGTCCAGTGCCTTTGAACCAGTGCTCTATAGGTCTACCCTGGTGGCAGGTTCTGTATTCTTTCAGAAGCCAGCACCTTTCTGAACTCAGAGCCTTTGACCCCTTTCACCTCAGTGTTCCCATAGGAGCAGAGTAGGGAGAAGTAACTGGAAGTGAAGAGTCACTTATTCAGACACCAGGGCTTGTAAGGTCCTTGTGCAACATGCTTAGAAGGTGGAGGAGCAGAAGGCTCATGAGCCTGAGCCAAGGCCTGAGGTGGGTGAGATGAGCCAAGAGAGTTTCTCAAGAGCTACTTTGTCTATCCTAACAGCCTTTGGTCTTAGGAGCTTTAGAAGACCTATGCATAGGGCTTCACAGGATCCAAATCTGTAAGAGCACCTGTGTGACTGGTGTGCTGAGCAGACGAGGAGGGGCTGGGCAGAAGCAGCAGACCCTACAGTCAGCTTCCGTTGCAGATTGGATGGGAGATGGTGGATAGATTCTAAGGAATGTTCTGAAGGTAGAGCCAACAGGATATGTAGATAGATGTATACAGACCAAGAGGTAAAGGGGAGCTAGGGATGATGTCAGGGTTTGGGCCTGAGCAACAAGAAGGAATGAACTGCTAGCAGCACATCCTAGGGAAAGCTGCTGGAGAGCATTGTGGAGAGAGAGGCCAGGAGCTCGGCTTTAGGCATATGTGCAGTGCAAAGTGAACATGTGAGTGGGGCTATTGCATGGGTCATTAGATGTCTGTGTTCCAGGTTCAGTGACTCCGCTTTCACTAAGTGTGGCATTGCAGAGACCAGTCATTGTTCCTTTAGATCTCCCTGCATTCCTCAAGATCTTAACCACACAGAGAAGAACCCTTGCCCTCCCTGGTCAGTCATGGGGCATTCTGTCTTTAGAGCATTACTTCTCTGCTGAGCTTGTTTGCCCTCAGTTCCTAGTGCTTTCTGCTTTCCTTTTTGAGCACAGAGGCCCAGATCTCAGAGTCTGCTTAAGTTTTGCTTGCAAGAGCTGTTCTGTTTCAGGCAGTTCCACATCCCTGGTTCCTCCTTTTTGAGCCTCCTGCCATCACCCAAACTCTGCCATTCTCCTCCCTTCTTTATGTTTGCCTTGTTGAAACGGGGAGAGGAGCTTTTTCTATGTAGCTCAGGCTAGCCTTGAACTTCTGGTCCTCTTACCTCCTCTTCCCAGTCCTGGGGTTTCAGGGGTACTCCACCAAACCCAGAAGCTCCATTCTGAAATTAGAGTTCAACAAAAATTTATCATACCCCCTACCCATTATAAATGCTAGGAAACAAGAGACAGGAGAGACTGGGCACACAGCTAACTCAGTGGTAAACACTTGCTGTTATGTGTGAGGCCCTGGGTTCAGCCCCAGCATTGACTAACAAACAAGCAAGCAAATGAACATGGAGACGAACAAGGCAAGATTCTTAGCTTGAAGTCAGTAGCTCCAGGCCTGACCTTTCACTGCTGTTCTGTGTAACATGTTGTCACTTCATTTCTCTTTGTACACCCAGCCATTTCATTGGCTTCGGAGTTTCTGACTAGCTCTAAAGACAGCAGTCCACCTATCCTTTGTTCCAGCCAATTTGAAGTCCTCCCCCTTCTCTCCGGCTTTCGTTGTTACCCAGGGTCTTATTCTTACCTCTCTCAATCATGCCTCCCTTTCAAGAGTCAGTTTGTGGATTCCTCTCATCCGCCACCCCCTACACACATACCAGTATGGGAAACAAGCATCTTGGTCCAAACTCTCCTGCCTCATTGCCCATGGTGACACACATCTGTAATCCCAACACTTGGGAAGTAGAACCAGGAGGTTCAGAATTCCAAGGCCTTCCTCAGCTACATAGTAAGGTTGAGGCAAAGGTGACCTACATGTGACCTTGTTCCAAAGAAGTATTGTAGGGATTGATGAAGTTAAGACTTCAGAGCAGGGTGCCTTGGTCAAACACCATCTCTGTTAATAACTGGTTGTGTAACCTTAGCAAGTTAGATAGCCTTTCTTTGCCTCAATTGCTTCATTTGTAAAATGGAAATATAATAGCACCTACCTGGAAGTTTTGAGAATTAAGTAGGTAAATGTACAAAGTGCCCTAGATTAGGATAGTGGTCAGTGTGAGTTCATGGAGAGATTTGCTGAATATTAACCTGTGCTGTGTGATATAACACATCTATATGCATAGGCCTGTCGAGGTCACCTATTTGATAATTTATTGAAAGAAGGGTCTGCATTCAGCTCCTGTGTGTAGCCTAGGTATTAACAATTTAATTTCATAATGTGTATTGACCATGCTTATTATATGCCCAGTATATCCTATAAATTTGCTGTGTCTCTAACATTTCCAGAAAAAACAAAGCTATAGTCCTAACTGTTGCCATATCCTTCAGTATCTGGAACAGTAAAGCCTTTGCTATTTTCTTCCTCTTCTTTACCCTCAATGCAGGACAACTTCTATATAAAACTATAGTCAGGAGAAGGACAGTGAGGTTTTGACCCTGAACTTATCATTTCTTATTGCACCGCCGACTAAGTCAGAAGGAGAAACATGTTCCTTTAAGTTTCTGAACCAACAATAAACTTGTATTTTTTCACTTACCACCACCTTCCTCCTGAAGTAAATTGACCAATTCAAATTCATACATAACATAGTCTCCTCTAATTGAATCTACTACTTAGCTATATTGAGATCTGTAACAAAATTATTTCTCCTCATAATCAAGGAAATAAAACTTGATGTTTATATATACATGTCCCATGAGAACAGTTTGGAATTGTTTACAAGATGTTTAACCTTTTCAGAATAGTAATGATTTTGTTATTGTAACTTGACTTGTGGCCTTGATAACTTTGGCCTGCTCTGTTTCAAATGCACACCGTGGATCTCATGCTTTTAAAACACAGTGGAGCAGCAGAGTAGGGAGCCCTCTTGTAAGTGTGCCAGCTCCCCACTTGTAAAGCCCTAAATTCGGCCTGACACCTTTGGCTCAGTACCATAAGCTCCTTCCCTCCAGCCTGGGCCCTTTGTCTTGATTGTGATGTTTGTTTGTGTACACGCAGCTGCATTCTAGGCTTTTTCTTTGCCTCCATTCCCAGGCAGCCCATGTTGCATGTCAGTGTCTCTTAGATCTATCACCCTCACGCCCCCATAGACACTGCCTGCACCTAGCGTTTCTAATTCTCTTGGACAGTGGCAGTGGTCTCTCAGCTGTGATTGGAGCACTTGAGGTCAGGATTCTTCAGTCTTGAGGCAATCTGCTATGGAGAAACAATGTACAAATGGCTCTGTTTACAATCCTCCAGTGACCATCCTGCTGGGGAAGTCAGCACTGGGAATGGAGGGTGGAGTGTCTTTGTTTGAGTTTTGAATAAATGCTTACTATAACACTATCTTATGAGGAATGGTGTCGTCAGGTGCCGGACACATTGGTGTGGAGACGTACTGAGTGCATGTCATGTGTTGCCCCTCTCTGGAACCAGGTGCCTGGTTTACACAGGACCAGCCTTCCTGCTCCTTTCCCTACTTCACTCATATGGGCTCAAGTGTGGAGTGGATATTGTATGTTCACTCAAACTACCACCCAAAAGGTGGGGTCTTATCTCATCTTTGTCTCCATCCTCTGTCAGGGCACGCCTTCTCCTCTACCTGTCCTGCCCAGCACCCCATCCCACATGAGCTGCCCACTTCCACATCAGCACCAGTCAGTGCTGTTCTTGGCACTCTCTGTTTTCATGTTGATCACTCCGACAGTTGAGTGCCTTTTGTGGAGATCAGAAATGGGCCTTACTCATTTTTGAACCCTAGCGCAGTATTTATCCTAAGAGGGCTCAGGACATACACAAGGGAATGAATGACTTGTGAAGTTAAATAAGAAATCAGATACACATAAAGCACTGAGAATTGACCTGCATATGCTCGGCATCTGGCTGTTAGTCAGGTACTCTGTGCTGCCTGATTTTACCAGGGAAGCAGACACAAGGCAAACTTACTTCCACATAGCTTTGGAGGGGGAAAAAAGACTTTTTGGTATTTCTGGGAACAGTAAATGCAATGGAGAAAAGCACAGCAGGGTCAGAAGCAGATAGCAGCACAGCAGAGGTGAGGATCAGAGGTGGTCCCAGCTCTGTCCCAAAGCGGGAAAGTAGAGGGCAGCTTTGGAATGGAGGCACAATAATCTCTTGACCAGCATGGCATGAAAAAGTAATGTTGGGTGAGTTCTATGGGAGACCATTGTTTCTGGGGTGCGGTAGGTGATGAGACAGACCAGTGGTCAGAGCCACTCACAACAGAGTGGAAACCTGTGACCTGAGTCACAGGTAAAATAGAATGGTCAATACTTTGTCTTTTGTCCTCATGGTTAGATGCCACACTCACCCAGTGCTTGTGAATGTGAGCCAGGTGCTCTGTGCTGTAAAGGGTCTTGTTACCGAAAGTGGGTGCCCCTACCAGCCTGATCACTTCAGGATGGTTTAACTTAACATCAGGAGAGATGAAATTTATTTCTAGAGGCTTTTTATTGTGAGCTTTGAAAATTGCTTTCTAGAATCTAAAGACTACAGCCCACAGAAGTTTCTCATATCTTTCAAGTACCCTCAGATGGTGTCCCTGCAGGGTGAATGGCTTGGGACTCTAACACAGTTATTAGGTTATGCAGTCCACAGGCAGAGCCTCTGTTGAGCAAAGCTGTGTGCTGCAGCATGTTAGATTGGCCTGCTTCTGTGGAAGCTGTTTAGAAGACTGCACCTTGTGGCCTCTGCTCCACCTGGTGGTCTGACCAGCCCCTCTCCAAGTCTCAGCTTCGGTGTTACTTGGTCAGAGAAATGTTTCTTAACACTCTACCTGGACTGCATTGTGTTCTCACTGATGCCACCCTCACATTTTCTTCTCTTTTCTAGCCATGCCATGTCTGAATATGGGAGGATGACAGACACAGAGCGAGACCAGATAGACCAGGATGCTCAGATATTCATTAGGACCTGTTCAGAGGCAATTCAGCAACTCAGAACAGAAGGTGAAGTGCTCCACAAAGAAACTAACAGATCCCATGAATGTGCCAACCAGTTTAACTCCTCACGCTGCTGCCACTTATGATCCCCTTTTACTTTCTGAATGGCATTTAGGACTTAAAACTTGAAAGTCCTTCTTTCCTGGTCCATCTTCTAAGCCAAGCTGTTCAAAGTCCTGAAAAGACCTCACTCAAGTTAAGTAAGTGGAAGGCAGGAATGGAAAAGACCTCTCTAAATAGAATCTATAACCTACCAAAAGGCCAAGGCCAGAGGAATAGATTGTGTGTGTGCAAGCATTTGCATATTTGTGGGAACATGCATGTGTGACAATGTTCTGAGTGGCAGGACAGTTGGCAGTGGTCTCTAAGATCTAGTTGTCCTGTTAAAGTCAACCCCCATTTGAGACGTCATAGTTGAGAGGAAGCTCTGCAGCCATGACTTAAAAGCAGTGCACCCCAGCTCTGCTACATGCTATCTCTGTGGCCTTGCACAAGTCACTTCATTTCCCTGGGCTCGACTTCTTCTTTGAAACAGTATAGAAAGTAATTAGGCATATCACTTGAATTCTTACAACATGCTAGAACCTTGCCTGGCACGAGGGGCCTAGTATTATCTCCCCTTCACTGGGTTTCATCCCCGAAGAGGAGGAGCTGGGCTTCCCAGCCATATGTCTTCCGTGATTTTTAAGCACATACATTAGAACTACGGAGGTCAAAATTGCCAGGCACTATTGGGCTCATGCCTGACTTCTGGTGGAGAAGCTTCTCAGAGAATGTTTGACCAACAACTGAGAGTCTAATGAAAGCTTACCAGGAAATATACATCACACAAAATTATGTGTACAGCATTGCAGAGTATCCAAATCATCATGTGAGTCCCAGGTTATACAGCCCTCTAGTAAAAACATAACCTGTGCCCCATACCCTTAAGGGCATAGGCATTTGTGACCTTCGGTGACCTCTTGCCTCTGGACCTCAGCTGGTTCATTTGAGGTATTTCTCTGAAGTCTTGGCATCATGCCTGCGCCCAGCCTTTCCACCAATAGCAAGGTCTCACCATAGAAACTGGCACAGGCTTCTTTGTGGTAGCTGGCCCTTGTGGCTCATCAATGGGAAAGGATCTTGGAGAGCAGGATACTACGGGTGGTGCCACTCAGTGTCTGAGGGGAGAAGGCAGTCACTGTACTCTGAAAGCAGTGCAGGCGGAGGTGTCCGTGCTCTAGCACATGTGATTTAAGCATGTCACTTGAAGGTGAGCCTTAGCACTGGCTGTTAATACAGTCAGGTCAGCATTCTGGAATGAACTGGTTCAACTCAGCTCCCCTGGTGCTGTAATAAGCTATAAATTATTTGACTGCAGTTTCAATGGGTTTAATCTCTCACCTGGTAAACCCTAATAAATCTTACTCTTAAAAATGTAGTCTCACTTGACGCGAGGCTGGTTTCTAGCTGTGCTTTTGAACATGCTTTCGATGAAGAGCTTCGAGGAAGCTGACTGTTCTGTGGGGTCCTGGAGCACAGACCTGAGCGCTGTCCTTTTCTCTTACAGCCCACAAGGAGATACAATCCCAGCAAGTGAAGGAACACAGGACTGCAGTTTTGGATTTCGTTGAAGATTACTTAAAAAGTATTTCATTTTCTTCTAAAGGTCAAATGTGGTATTCCATAGGAAATGCAATTTAGAATAGAGCTTTGCTAGTTGAAGACTGTAGTATCTCATTAGTATTAATGATACCTTCGCCTGAGAAGCCATTTTAATGTTCTCTGTTCTGGTATTTTCTGCTTCAACAGGAGTATGTAAGCTTTACTCTGAACAAAGAGCCATCCGAGTTAAGCGTGTGGTGGATAAGAAGAGACTGTGAGTATTGCCGCCTTTGCTCTTCCTTCCTCGGTTAAAACAGGGGCAACAGGAATGGCAGCCTGAGCTCCTAAAGCATTGATTCTGTTGTCCTCTGTGCACGAAGCTTTCACCGAATGCGGTCTTAGAAGCTAAGGACATACTGTATACCAGGTGGTGCTGGCTGGCCTGTTAGCCACAGCAGCCCATGAGGCAGATTCTCTTTGCTTTCCTGATCATACTGAGGTTCAGCAGGTTTTAAACTCATGTGACTCCACAATTTCATAGCAGCTGGACTGGTTGAGCAATTACCTAATTTCGTTTTCCTTTTGTTGGGAGTAGTAGAGAGACGGTCTAGCTATGAGGTTCATTCTGGGCTCAAAGTCATTATGCAGCCTAAACTGGCCATGAGCCCATATTTTTTCTGCTTCAGGATTCAGAGTGAGGGAGATACAGGTGTGTGCCACCCACTCAACTTCCCATCCCATTTCTTCATAACCCTATGAGGTGGGACACTTGGAGCTATTTGACTTTGGTCTCTGGCCCCCATACTTCCTTCTCTGAAAGTTTTTCTGCAAAGGGGTTTTCATGTTGATCAGTGCTTCCCTATATTGCTGTCAATATGACATAATATATTCAGGATGCCATGTACACTGAACCCTACTCCCACTCCAATACCCATTTTGGTATGGTGACTGTCAGTTTTCCCAGAGAGGACCCAGGGGAGCAGGTCTGACTCTGGTGTTGTATGATTAACTGTCAGTATGGTAAGGAGACCGGTCACTGGCTCTCACAGTCCCCAGGAGAGACAAGCGTGTCTGCTGCACTGTCACAGGGAGAGACAAGAAAAGGCCTCAGCACACACAGCCTCAGCCTTGCTTCTAAGCAGAAGTTCCCTCTGATGTCAGTCAGATGGGAATTGTACAGCATCAGTCAGCTGCCAGATTGCTGTTCTCCATGATTACCCTGAACAGAAGGCCTTAGAGACCTTGGAATGACTAACTCTACAGTGTGGCCCAGCTCTTTCCTCTTAGGCTTGTACCTCTTGGGCAGGCCTTGACTTCTGATCATACTGCCTCAGCCTCCCAAATGGTGGGACTGTGGAACAACAGGCTTGTGTTGCCACCCTGACTTCTTCTGGTCTTTCTTCATCTTTATACTTAAGACATACTTATAATTTTATCCTTAATCTTGCCTCCCTTATGCATAGGTCTCACAAAGGCCAAGTATGGCAAATTTAAGGCTGTAGTGACTGTATCATAGCTTTTGTTTCTTAATCAGTCCCCAGTGACATCTGCTCTGCCAAGTCTATGTGTGACTTTGTCCTAAAGGAGCTTTGCTTTCCTAGTGCCCAATTCTTGCTGAATTCTCCATCCATAGAACCTTTCACATAGTCTTCTCTGTCTATCTGGTAGACAAAATCGTACTCATCCTTCCAGCCCAACTCAAACGTCACCTGACTTATGAAGTGTTCCAGCTGTTGCGAGCAGTGCTGTGTCTCATTAGTAGGTTTCCCATGTGTTGTTCACAGCCAGGTGCAGCACACACACTCATGCAGCCACTGTTGACTTAAGTCTCCTCAAACACCTCAGCCCATCGCACAATGCCTGTTCTTTGGGGAGGCCAGTGGGTAGAGTGTGCACAATTGTCATTGGTGGGTTGTTTCTAGCCACTGTTCTGTTTGGGTTGCTGATGGCTGTCATTAAGAAGTTTGTTTGAGGAGTCCAGCTGCTCATGTTCTGTGGCACTGTTGTCACTATCTCGTGTGTCTGGTGAAGGAAAACATACTTGTTAAGGTGCAGCTTGCTCCCTGTAAAGTCTTAAGTGTGCAGACGGTATTATGTGGTAGCTTTTGTTCTTGTAGAGTGGAGATGTCACATCCATCTATCGGACCAAAGGGCTCTTATTTCAAACTGTTGAAAGTATTTTGCTCATTAAGCCAGAAGTATTTCCAGCTGACAGCTCTGCACTTTCCTACAGTGACTATGTTGTCTGCAGATGATAGTGCCGTCATTAAAGGTACCTGTTTTCATCTACCCTGGTGGCATTTTGCTTTTTGAGCTGACAGTAGGACCTGTTGCATGTTGCCTCAAGCCAGAATGGGATAACTACCTGGGGCATCCCACCTCTCTGGTATTTTCCCTAGAAGACTACAAGTTTGGAGATGGGGACCGTTGTCTTCTGACTTTCTGATCAGTGCACTGATTGGAGCCTGCTACAAAGTAGATGCTCATCCACTCGTTCCTGATTGAAGGAGACATCATAGAGTTACAGAGTAAAAGCTTTTACAAACTAGAAATACGTGAGCCAATATTGGATGAAGCATTGGCACAAATGGCCCTACTATATATCCCCAGAGGATTTTATCTTTTTTAAAAAAAGTCTTTTTTTATTTTACATACCAATCCCAGTTCCCTCTCCCTCCCCTCTTCCAGCTGCTCCCACCTCCCTCCTCCCCATTCACTTCTCAGAGAGGGTGAGTTCTCCCATGGGAAGTCAACAAAATCTGTCGTATCATGTTGAGGAAAGACCAAGGTCCTCCTCCACCACCACCACCCTGTTTCTAGACTGAGCAAAGTATCCCTTCATAGGGAATGGGTTCCAGAAAACCATTTCATACACTAGGAATAAATACTTGTCCCACTTCCAGTGGCCCTACAAACTGCTCAAGCCGTACAACTGTCACCCACATTCCGAGGGCCTAGTTCAATCCTATGCAAGTTCCCCAACTGTCAGTCCAGAGTCAGTGAGCTCCCATTAGCTCGGGTCAGCTGTTTCTATGCATTTCTGCATCACGGTCTTGACCCCTTTGTTCCTATCACTCCTACCTCTCTAACTGAACTCTAGGAACTCGGGCCAGTGCTTAGCTGTGGATCTCTGCATCTGCTTCCATAAGTTAGTGGATGAAGGTTCTGTGATGACAATTAAGGTAGTCATCAATCTGATTACAGGACAATTCAGAAGCCCTCTCCACTTCTTAGCTGGGGTCATCCTTGCTAGATTCCTGGGAATTTCCCTAGTGACAGGTTTCTTGCTAACCACATAATGGCCCCCCTCTATCAAGATACCACTTTCCTTGCTCTCCCTCTCTGTCCTTCTCCCAAGTCAGCCATCCCAATCCCTCATGTTCTCCATCTTTCTCCCCTCTTCCCCTCCCCCTCCTCTCCTACCCTCCTCTCTACTCCCATGCTTCCAATTTATTTGGGAGATCCTGTCTATTTCCCATTCCCAGGGGGCTCCACGTATGTCTCTCTTAGGGGCCTCCTGATTTCTTAGCTTCTCTGGGGTTGTAGACTGTAGCCTGGTTATCCTTTGCTTTATGTCTAATATCCACCTGTGAGTGAGTACATATTATGTTTGTTTTCTGGGTCTGTGTTACCTCACTCAGGATGATTTTTTTCTAGCTCCATCCATTGCCTGTAAATTTCAATATATCCTTGTTTTTTACTGCTGAGTAGTACTCCATTGTGTAAATGTACCACATCTTCTTTATCCATTCTTCAGTTGATGGGCATCTAGGTTGTTTCCAGGTTCTGGCTATTATGAATAATGCTGCTATGAACTTAGTTGGACAGATGTCCTTGTGGTATGAGTGTGAATCCTTTGGGTTTATGCCCAAGAGTGATATTGCTAGGTCTTGAGGTAGATTGATTCCCAATTTTCTGAGAAACTGCCACACTGATTTCCAAAGTGGCTATATAAGTTTGCACTCCCACCAGTAATGGAGGAGTGTTCCCCTTACTCTGCATCCTCTCCAGCATAAGCTGTTATCAGTGTTTTTGACAGGTGTAAGATGGAATCTGAGACAGATTCAAGGCAATGCCCATCAAAATCCCAGCAAAATTCTTCAAAGACCTCGAAAGAATGATACTCAACTTCATATGGAAAAGCAAAAAATCCAGGATAGCCAAAAGAAGCCTGTACAATAAAAGAACTTCTGGAGGCATCACAATCCCTGACTTCAAACTCTACTACAGAGCTACAGTACTGAAAACAGCCTGGTATTGGCATAAGAACAGACAGAAGGACCAATGGAACTGAATAGAAGACCCAGATATCAATCCGCACAGCTTCGAACACCTGATTTTTGACAAAGAAACAAAAAATATCAAATGGAAAAAAGAAAGCATATTTAACAAGTGGTGCTGGCATAACTGGATATCAACATGTAGAAGAATGAAAATAGACCCATATCTATCACCATGCACAAAACTCAAGTCCAAATGAATCAAAGACCTCACCATAAAGCCAACCACACTGAGCCTTATAGAAAAGAAAATGGGAAATACACTTGAACGCATTAGCACAGGAGACCACTTTCTAAATAGAACCCCAGCAGCACAGACACTGAGAGAAACAATTAATAAATGGGACCTCCTGAAACTGAGAAGCTTCTGTAAAGCAAAGGACACAGTCAACAAGACAAAACAACAGCCTACAGAATGGGAAAAGATCTTCACTAACCCCACATCAGACAGAGATCTCATACAGAATGGGAAAAGATCTTCACTAACCCCACATCAGACAGAGGTCTAATCTCCAAAATATACAAAGAACTCAAAAAATTGGTCACCAAAAGAACACATAATCCAATAAAAAAAATGGAGTACAGACCTAAACAGAGAACTCTCAACAGAGGAATCTAAAATGGCTGCAAGACACTTAAGGAAACGTTCAACATCCTTAGTCATCAGAGAAATGCAAATCAAAACAACTCTGAGATTCCATCTTAGACCTGTAAGAATGGCCAAGATCAAAAACACTGATGACAACTTATGCTGGAGAGGTTGTGGGGAAAAGGGAACACTCCTGCATTGCTGGTGGGAGTGCAAGCTGGTACAGCCCCTTTGGATGTCAGTGTGGCAATTTCTCAGAAAATTGGGAAACAACCTTCCTCAAGACCCAGTAATACCACTTTTGGGTATATATCCAAAGGATGCTCAATCGTGCCACAAGGACATATGCTCAGTTATGTTCATAGCGGCTTTGTTTGTCATATCCAGAACCTGGAAACAATCTAA